TGAGAGCCCTCCCACGTGTGCTAATAGAATAATACTGCTTCACACTGCTCATAAAATAGGTAATGTTTTGAGAAGGAAGGTGATTCCTTAGACATGCCTTTCTCCTTCATGGAGCTCAAGGATAACAGGAGGAAAGATAGCCAAAGGGATGACGCTGCTTATATGAAACTGTGACCCAAGTTGGCTTCTGTGCTTCTCCACTGTCAATCTGCGGGGGGAAACCAGTGGAAATTTGTGAATTTGAAGGCATCGAAGGCAAGATGGGGCACTAAAGCAGTGCAGATAAAGAGCCTGCCGGCTCACAAGCATGATGCAACACACATTGGGGATAAGGGAGAAGCATTTCACTTTAAAATAAAATGGCATCAGTAAGGCAGTCCTTGCCTCATGTATGAAACATATTCTGACCTTCAAAAAGCCAGAGTCTGAGTTCCTCGGAACCAGATTTGCTCCCATGACTGCTGATGCATTTCTCCTGTGGTTTCCAGCAGGCAGCTCTCCCTTGCTAGAGCCCCTGAGGAACTCGGAGAGTCTTCCTTAGATAATAAACCTTTGCTCAGGGGAGGACTTTGTCTCATAAGATGAATCTCTGTGGTCCGAACTTTGATATGATAAGCATGACCAAATATGCATTAAGTAATTGTAAGCCCAGTCAAGAGCCTATTGAAAACATTTATTTGAATGCAGAAGTGGATGCATTTGCACAGACAGGGGATTCTGATGGAAAACCAGTTTGTTTCTGATTGCAAAAGACAAAAAAAATCCTATTTGGGAGGCAGAGGTGTTGCTTTTCCTTGGAATGTTTGAAAAAGATCACAATATTAGCTAGATTTTGCTGTAAAAATGTCTTTGTCACCATTGCAAATAAACCCATTGTGAAATATAGGTTGAAAGGAACAGCCAACAACGTTTACATGCAATTCTGCAGGACGGCACTGTGGGAGCCGGCGTGACTGCTGCAATGTCAATAGGAGGCTTTTAGCAGCAGGATAGATTTATGACAACCGTAGACGTGGGCAAGGACAGGTTGTTTCAGCACAGGAGGAGAGCGTGAGCACTCCCGGGGAATGCGCGTGGACTTGTGACCTGATGAGTAAACAGGCCTGGCCGTGCCAGCCTGGAGCCCGCCCCCTCCCAAACAGGCTCTGGGTGCCCAGCTGCTGGGGAGCCCACGGGATTTCCAGCTCCCTTCGCCGGTGTGTTTGTCTTTCTGCTTCCTGCCTGCTGGCTGAAGGCATCGCTCTTGTACAGCAGATGTAGCAAACCTGCTGTCCTTAGGCTGCACGACTGTTTTTGGATGGGCCAGAGAGCAGGAGCTGGACCCCCTGTCTCATCGGTAGGTGGGAGATGGATGGGGCTCCTCTTCCTCGCTTTGTCCTTTCCTGAGCCTCCCCAAGGCTGCACTCCGCATTCCCGGCTCTCCTCGACTGTTTTTGGATGGGCCAGAGAGCAGGAGCTGGACCCCCTGTCTCATCGGTAGGTGGGAGATGGATGGGGCTCCTCTTCCTCGCTTTGTCCCTTCCCGAGCCTCCCCAAGGCTGCACCCCACATTCCCGGCTCTCCCGGTCACCTTCCCCGAGCGACTGGCAGAGGTGGATGTGCAAGGAGTGCAGGTTTTCCACCACTGTGAGGATGCTTGCGAGCAATAAAGCAAAACCTGCTGTGAAAGCAGCAGCGCTGGCTCTGGGGATGGTGCTGTTTCTCCTGCTGCAGGGAGTACCTGCTCCTTGTCACCGTCGGATCTGAGGAGCCGGTAACTGTGTCCAGGGTGATGACACACAGTGTGTTGCAAGTGTATTTGTAGACCAGTTCACAAGCAACGTGGACATCTGCAGCTGCATCTTCCCTTCATGCCAGGAGCTCAACTAATGTCATTGCCCACCTAGAATGTGTACGATTTGTCCTATTGCAGAATTCCACAATGCCAATTAGAACGTTTCTGTTTAGTCAGGGAAAGGCACAAAATTGATTCTAGAGACATCTCCTGAAATGATCTGTGCTCTTTTCTTTCCATAGGACTGTGTTCTTTTACTGCCAGTATTCTAGAGGGACATTCACAGAAGAAAAATCAACAGGAATTAAACATTCACCTATAAAAGTGTGCGTGTGTTTGCTGCTTCCACACATTAACCGCATGGTTTTTATGCAAAAACAAAAAAAAACAAAAAAAAACACAAAAACAAACAAAAAAATAAATTTAGCATGAGCCAATTTACAGAGCATGGAAATTCACGTTCATTCACAGGATGGAGGGTGTGCGGTTCCCAGTGCAGTGTATATACAAGATGCCATGCTGTTAACAGCTTCTTTCAAGCAGTTTGACGTCATCTCAAAAGAAATAAATTCCTGTGGCCGGAGGGGATGTACGAAGACAAAATGGTTAAACCGTGGAAAGACACTAAAATTACTAAAATCCACAACAGCTCGCCTTATTTTTCTTGGACCCAAACTGTCAGGGTATAAAACACTATTTGTTTCTTTTTTAAACATCAATAGTTTTGCTGTAAATAAATAACACTGTATAAATTCTAACAAAATAGAATACATGTTGATAAGGCACTGCCTTTTCGATCACAAACAGAATATTGCAAATGCATTGAGCAGGCTAGGTGTCTCAAATGGCTGCACCTACAGGGATATTCTGGGTGTATCTTCACAGATTCTTGTATATTAGCAATTACAATGTTTGTATATGCAAAAACGCTAGCTTGATTTTAAAAAAATCTTTAAAATCTGCTGCAAATTTAAATGATTCCCAAAATGAGGAATTCTGTAGTTCTGTGAAAATTTTTCTTCAGAGTACTAATATTTTGATGCATGTGTTTCACCTTATTTTGATTAAATCTTTTCCAGTTTTGCAGACACTATACCGCAACATGAAAAATAAGATTTTATCTGTAAACACAAAGCCCTTCATCTAATATTTGTTGCTGTTGCCAATTTTTCAATGAAATGACCTAAAACCCATAACATATACAGTAGTTGCATTATGGGGAGGGGGGTGCTATCTGTTCTCGCTTTATAACGGGGGTAATGCTTGCAGCTTTAGAAGTGGGTTGGTGCTCTAAGGAGCACAAGTTTGGGATATTTTTAAATGAACTGAAGAGAAAATATTAGCTAATAGACTGGCAGCACGCTGTAAAATTATTACTGTATTGTGTACTGGCTATAAGATGTAGAATCTTTCAGTAAGCCAATCATCTGTAATCATCCTAGCAGTGTAATATTAGGTTGTTAAGGCTGCTGTGTTTTAAAGGGCATTTTTATTTGGGTTTTGGTGAAATACTTTAATTTGTTGATTATATTCATATGGAAACAGCATTCATTGATAATAGCTCTAATTACATATGTATGAAAACAACAAACACTGGATGATCTAGTTGATTATTTAAGCATAAAATAAATTGTGTTAAAACTCTTGGATAACGTGTATTTGGCAGTGTTCTTGTACCCTACAGACATGCGGCTTCACAAGGACAGCCCTTAAGCTTTTCTTCTCCTTTCTTTTGTCTGATCCATCTCCTCATCTTCCCAGTGTGACAGGCCACGGCTTGGCAGTCTCCAGGTGGAGGGAACGGGAGGAAAACACAGCAGCCAGTCCATCCTCAGCAAAGCTAAGGAAACCCACCTCCCTGGGACGTGGGGAGACTCCTCGGGTGAGGGGAAAGGACCTGCGCTACAGGGGTGTGCGCAGCCTCTTCTCCAACACCTGTTATCTCTAACTAACTAAAGGACCTCCTTTAGTTTCTTTCACCCCATGGAGAACCAGGAATAATAGCACTATGAAAAGCAGGTTTTTTCCCAGTGTGTATCAGGGAGACCAATAACCAGCACACTGCAGATGAGTAAATAAAGTGTATATCTCCTGTATATTGCATGCACTTCCTGTTTATTACAGGTGATGGAGCACTATATATATAAAATGCTGCCAAAACACAGTTTTGTTGGCAGCATCAATACATGGTCGCTGCTCCGGACTGCAGGCTTCTGCTCAGGTGCAATAAATAAATTTTATAACTCAGGGTTCAGTTTTAGGTGGCTTTCAAGGCAACATGAAGATGATGTGTTTTCCCCCAGCTTGGCACCTGAGGAAGCTCCGCTGCTACAGACCCACCTCAGTCGGCTGATCCCCAGGGGAACGGCTCCTCACCTGGGGTCAGTCCCCAAAGCTCTCCTGACTGCACTGGAAAGCACTTGGCTTTGGGAGAGCATAACAGGTTGGTTTGTCAGCGTTTCCCGGCTATTAGGGCTGGCAGCTTTTGAAGCAGTGGCAGAAAATAAAGTGGTTTTCATCGTTTTAGCAGCCAGTTGGTGTTGCAGTGTGTGTTTTACTGAGGCCAGGATGCTGCTGGTACAATGCTGATGGTTCAGGTCCTTACGCCAGAGCCTGGAGGGCAGATGCCACTTTGGCCACCGGAGAACAAACACACCTTATTGCAGGTCACAGGCCAGCAGCAGCGATCGTTCTCCTGGAGACCTCGTCCTTCAGATGCCTCCCTCCCGCTCGCGAGCGCCCAGATCAGCGGAATGAAAAAGGATGTTTTTAGTAAATGGTGTGTGGATGTATATATTTAATATCATATGCAGATTTTACAGCAGGAAGGCAGGAGCAGAGAGCCTCGCTTCACCTCTTGGTAACAGCATCCAAAAGGCAGCATTTCATTCGACTCATCTCTCTCCTCTGCCCAGTCCCTTGTTAGTGCCCGACGCTGATGAGGAGAAAGCTGTGATTGTAGCAGGAACGGTAAATCCGCAGGCAGAAGCTCTCTTTGTGCAGACAGGGCAGTGGGGGTGCCTGTGCCGGTAGCAGAGGTGTGTAGGGGAATCTTGACAGGTCTCCTGCTGCTGGTGGTGATTTATGTGGCACCTGCAGGCTCAGGGAGTTGCTGTTGATGGTGACAGCAGCCGTGAGTTTTCTGCTGGCTCTTCTCGAGGCTCCCGAGGACGCTTTTGCAGCAAGGCCCGGCCATGGGCAGAACCCAGCACTCCAGCAGGCTGCGACCATGGCAGACGCACCCCTCGGGCCACCTGGGCCAGCTCAGGGCAGGGTGGTCCCTCACCACCGGCTGGTCCCAGTCCTCCCTCCAGCTCGGCCACATCGCCGCTTGCTGCCTCCCGCGAAGCTCTGATACAACGGAAACAGCAAAGGTTGGAATGGGCACTCCACACCTAAATCTGCAGAGTTTAAAACTTCACATTAAATGTTGCACAAACAGGGGTTTCTGGGTGTTGGTTTGTTTTGCACTAGAGTGTATTGACTCCAACGGTAGCTTAGGATATTTGGGAAAAACAAGGTTGAAGCATAAATGGTCGTTTGAGAAGGAAAACAGAAATCTTGCCAGTAGCAGCAAACAGCACAGACAGCCCTGGAGTGAGGGAGGCTCTACCTCTAATGTGCGCTTCTGTCTTTTTTTTCATATTTTCTCCAGTAAGAACATTCCCATTAAAGGCAAAATTGTAAGTCATGAGACTTTTATTGCATCTATTAAAATAAACTCAATTGCTAAATACGGCCTTCTTTTCATCCTTTTGATATTTGTTTTAGCACTACCTAATAATAATGCTGCAGAGTATCCTACTGTACTTTTTCCATTTCTGAAAGAGTATCAATTACATTTTATTTGCGGCCGGTAACAGTTTTAATGTCAGAAATTCTAAGAGCTCCTGTAGTGCAGAGCTGACATGAGTTGGATAAATGGCAGTCGCTTGCAGGATTGCAGCACCCCGCTAATTAATGCTAATTTCCTGGAGGGGTTGTTTAACACGGGCTTTGTCTGTAGCGCGCACAGTGCAGAAAATTGAGACGTGCTCCACCAGGCGCTCCTGCAGCCTGCTGTGTGGGGCGTGTGCCCCAAAAACCTCACCATGCTCCCTACGGAAGGAGGTTACAACAGAGGGTGCCGGGCAGGGCATGGGCAAGGGGCTTGTTTGTTCTCCTTGCCACATGCACGGCGTACGAAAAGGCTACCACCGACCCACTGCAGCCTCAGCCCTGGGGTCGTGCGCTGGGTCGATTGCCAAGGGGCAGCAGGAGCACATGGGTGCAAATGGAACCTCTGTCTTCAGGGCAGATCCCACCAAACCGGGGCTAGAGGAAGAGGAGCTCCTGCCTCAGCTCCCCTCTAACCCTGGAGTGAGCCAGGGAAGGAAAACATGGTGGTAGTGAAGAGAAAAAATATTCTTGCTTCCAACAGAGACACAGACCCTTGCATAGGGAAGGGGAAGAAGGGAAGGTTAGACCCAGCCTGCTCCAAGGTGCGTGACATAAAAAATAGCCCATTACTGGGAGAGAAAAAGGTTAGTGAAGGACAGAAAAATGAGCTGCTCAAGAAAAATCTATGTACGTGCCACATTTTTCATAACTGCTGATGCTAAAAACAGTATGCTAATTGTGCATGGCTTTATTTATTTGACCCTAAGTCCTGGAGGAAGGCGAAGATTTATAATAAAAGTTTTATTGGTACTTTTCCCATCACACTAATGTTCAATTATTGAGCGCCATTTGGGCTATAAAACAGCAACGCACAGCGATCCCCTGTTCAGCAACTTCCTTGGAAGGCTTCCAGGGGCTGGGTATCGGTACGGCACGGCCAGACCAACAGGACCAACCGAGCATGAACTCTGAAAATAATTCCTTGGGAGAACAAGGATACACAAGCAAAAGCCCAGAGAAGATGCATTTAGCTGCTGGGTGGCTACTGCGTGGCATGTTTTCATAGCCACACACTCTGTCCTGCACACAGCCTTCTTTTCCAACACAGGTTTCTCATCAAAGAATTGTAGGTCAGAAAAGCAAAGCAGCATGGCACTGTTTTCACCTGAATTGCTTGTTAGAAAACATGTTTTATCCTGTATCAATAGACATCTTGACCCCACAGCATTAGAGAATTGGGATTTTTTTAGTTCATACAAATATCTTTCAGATTGTGGTTTCTCCCCTTCAACAGCCCTTCCACAATGGCAAAATCTCCACATATGCACTCCGTTTTCCCCCTTGAATAGTCCTTGTATACAGATCACAACTTTTTTTAACAACGCTTCAGTTTATTTTCCTAGCAATATTTTCCATTAATTACATTTTAATGCAACTTTGTCTTTCCTTTATTTTTTTTCCCCTCTATTTCAGTTGGGTACTCCGAGTACTGAACAGAATTTTTCCTGGGGTTAATTAGCTACAGTTGGTCTTTTTCTCATCAGTCTATAACTACTGAATATTTTAATAAAATTGTATTGTTATAGAAGGCCTTCCAGCTGATTAATGGACCTTTGCAATTATATTAAGGATTACATTAAATCTCTGAACATACCTCTTCTAGCCCCTCACGCCTAGCAATTTATGTTATACAAATATTTCTACTGGTGATGTGAGTTTATGAAACACTGTTTCTAATTGCCCGTTACTTCCTGTAATGATAAATTCTGTGAATAAAGCCCTGCCTTTTTATTGCTTCTTCTTGACGTATCTGCTCTGCTATTATTACAGCGCTGGTGACATTTTGAGATTCTTTATTTGGACCAACACTTCCCCTTTGCCCCCTTATAGTTTTGCATTTATTTTTTGTACAACAACAAAAAAAATAAATTATTGGGGCAAGGCGGGTGGGGAGCTCGTCCTGCAGGCACTGCAGCAGGGACAGGTTGGTGGCGGTGGCTTTTACTGTCCCCCAGCTCCTGAGGTGTGGGACAGGGCCCCGGCAGCGGTGCCCCGAGCAGCCCTGCAGCCAGATGAAGTCACAGCGCGGGGGCAGCCTGCGCCGCGCGCCCCGAGCCTTTAGAACGGGGGTTTTGCTAATTGTGCTCATACCGCATAGTTAGACTTTTTAATTGGTTTGGTTAATGTCTTACAGATGTGCAAAGCACGCGATTTTTGTTTTTTTTTTGGGGGGGTGCTAATTAGGATAAAGTTTTCTCTCCCTGTTTAATCTATTAATTTGGAGTAGTTGGCTGTAATTGTAATTAAATATGCGGGCCCTATTTTTTAAATGACTGAAATGCTGTTATGACAAGAAGGATGCCATCTCAGATCTAAACATCAAGGGCCCTTGAGTTTTCCTCCCACTCCCCCACTGACTCACTATTTGTCATTGGGCAAGTACCTCAGCTCGCTACCTCCCCTTCTTGCCTTGCAGGGCTATTGTGTGAATTAATTAGATAATGTTTCAGCACAGCTTTGAACTGGGGAGTGCTACAGAAGTGCCAAGTTAAAATTTATTGTTATGAAAGCCAGCGTGCTCGCTGGGAGCGAGACCTCTGATGCAACCCCAGCAGAGAGGGATGGCGAGGCAGCCAGGGGAAGCTCCCCTCCCTCCCTGTACCCACTGTCTGCAGCACCTTCAGCCTCCTCCAGAAACAGTCTGCAGCAGCAGCTGCCTGCTGTGACACTGGGGACACAGCCCCTGGCTCAGCCAACCCCTCCCAGCTGCTGGACTGAGGATCTTTCCTGCATCTCCCATCCCGTTCTCAGGCTAGTTTTGGTGTCCGAAGGAGCAGCGGCCACGTCCTCTGGAAAATTACAGTGCTCCAAATCAGCACAGCACTTAAGATTAACATTGATAGGTCTGAAGAGTGGCTTAAGGTTAAGCACGCCGTGGGGCTTGCTGGGTAAGATTAGCCCAGAGCAGCTGCCTGCTTTGCTGATGCAGGTTTTACAAATATTTAGGCCTTGATTCAACAAGACACTCAAACGGGAGCAGTCTCACCGAAGGCGATGGAAATAACAGGCTGATCAAAGCCAGGCAGCCGAATGAAGAAAGAACATTAAGTTACAAACCTGTTTGTTTAGGAATGAGTTTGCTTGGAGGAGCACGTGTGCCTGTGGACAGAAGCAGCAGAGCAAACCGGCTCGCCCGCCGTCACCAGCGCTGCAGAGCGTGGACGTGAAGTAGAGCTTCCTCCCCACCCGGCCGTGTTCATCCAGCTTCCCCAGTGCCAGCAGACCTGTTTAAAAGCAATTCCATGGAATTGTAACGACCTGTCCAAAAGCAATTCCATGGAATTGTTAACGACCTGTCCAAAACACTGCTTATTATTTGTCAAAGCCTATTTTAATCCCTCAGGCTTTGCATCCTCCAGCCCGTGCTGGCGGAGAGGCTCAGCCCGGGCGCTGCTGTGGGCACATTTCAGACCCCTGCAGACCTGGGTGTCCCTGGGGGGACATTTCGGGACAGCATCAAAAACCTCTCACGAGATCTCATGGACATCACCCAGCTGGTCTGTGGAGCCCTGTGCATCTGCAGCAGCATCTCTGGATGCTTTTGTGTTTTGGGAGAAATCCTGCCCTAATGCCAGTGCCGGATGGGGACCCCCGTTTCCCACCAGCCCATCCCCATTTTTGAGCCCTGTTTGCACGGCAGCACAACGTGCCGGGGTCCAACACACGGCCAGGAGACAGCACCGTGTCTGAAAACCAGGGACGGCCCTTTCACTGCTTTTCTTGTGATTAAGAGACCAAAAATAAAATGACCTGCACTTATATTCCCAGGCAGGCAAAAAGAGTAATTACTTTACAGAGATGGAATTCCTTCATATATTATCACCATTAAAAAGAGTAAAATTTGAAATTTACTGTGGCACGGAACAAAAAGGTAGGGCAGTTAGAGATAATGAAATCCTTACTTGCCATTAAGGGAAAAATTACTGTTGTTAAAAGACCCCTTCATAAATAATTGAGAAACCAATTATACAGTCTCGGTGACTAATTTATCCAGGAGCAACACGGGCCACATTATGCCATATAACAAACGGCACGTACGCGCCGCTACGTCTCACTACAACTCCTGCCTTTATTCAGCTGCTGCAGAAAGAAAAAAATAAAAAAGAAACTAATGCACACAGTATAGGAGAAAATACATTATCTGAAATGTGAGACGGGCGTTAATAGATCTTAATTTGAAGGGGTTTTAGGGCAGCGTGAAGGCCTGAACGAACACGGTGCTTTGTCTCTGGGCCGTGGCGGGTCGGAGGGCCGGGGGGGCCATACTCACCCTGTCAGGGCCCGAGGGTCACCGGGCCCCCTCCTCCCGGCACCGCCGGGGCTAGGAGCGGCTCCGCAGGCCAAGGGGGTCTCCACAGCCGGGGGTACACCTCCGGGTACGAACGGGTACAGCCGAGGCCTCTCCCACCCCGGGCAGCGCTGCCTGCCTCCCCCCGGCTTTTTCCCCGTATATACTGAGGGAAAAAATCCAGGGTTGGCGCGCGAGCCGCTCACCACGGATAATGTAAGGCCTAAACAAGCCATCCCCGCCGAAGCCGGGCCACCGGGGGCGGCCGCACCGCCGCAAAGTGACATTTTTTTCCTCCGCGCCGCGACCGGACCTCGCCCCCCCGCCCGCCCCGCTCCCTCGGCGGC